CTTCCTAATCAGTTTCTGTCTTCAGAACGAAGGCAGCTGATTGGTTGCCATGAACATCTGCTCCAGATTGCGTCTCTCCACTTTGGACAGATTTCCCTCATTGATGAAGCGTGTCACCGTGGCTGGTCTTGGTACGGATGTGTCACATGCGTCCTCCAGATGGCGCTGGACTCTCGCAGCTCAGCATCCCCCTCCAGCGCGTCAGCACAGAGTATAAATCTGCGGAGACGAGTCCGGGCTCTGCTCAGTTGCGTGTGCTGGTGATTCGGTGACACCGGCAGCTCCGCTTCAACATGTTCTATTCCGGAATCATGACCGAGGGCAGCGGAGGCAGGAAGGATGCTGACCTCAGGGAGGCTGCGTCGCTACGGCAACAGAGGAAGATGAAACAGTCGGTCCAGTTCATCCACAAGGACTCCGCCGACCTTCTACCCCTCGATGGACTCAAGAAGCTCGGAACATCCAAGGACACGGTAAGGCGAATGAACGTTTTACGACGTTACTGTCGGTCATAGACACCAAACGCAAAGGGTTAACTTTGGTGTGTTATTTTTTTTGGGGGGGGGGGGGATAATGGAATAGGAAAAGGGAAGACAAGGATGACTCAGAACTCAGAGGGAGGACCAGCTGAAAAAATGATCAGCATCAGTTCAACTGTAACATTGTATCCAAAAAGTGTTCAGAAGGAAAGGATGGAACGGGAAGTGCAACAGTTGTGAACAGGTGCGGTCATGCACAGTGGCGTCACTAGGGGGGTGCGGCCCGCACTGGGTGACACCATTGGAGGGGGTGATATCAAAAAGACTGACAGTCACTTTGGTGTCACCCCCTCTGAAAAGTCAGGCACTCGGTCATGGACCCAGAGCCCAACAGTTACATGAGAGAGGACAGTACCCGGCGGCGTACCTCATCCCATCAGGTGAACGTCCCCTCATCCCTCCGGTGATAGACGCCGGCAGGTAACAGTGCGTGACGCCCTGGTGGGGTGTCACCCGGTGGCTGCCAGGTGTCACCACGCCTCGGGACGCCCTTGGTCATGCAGCAGGTGTTGCCCCTAATGGAGCCTCTTTGAGCTTAAAGGGTTAGAGTAGATGTAAACCTTAACCGGAGGACATTTGCTTGTGAACAGCAATTATTAGGAACAATTATCATTAAAAAAAAAAAAAAAGAATCCTTGTTGTCACCATTTCCTGCAGCCTTTTAGGAATCACTTCCTGTCTATATGCACTCTGCTGATGGCTGCATGGCATTTCTCAGGGCGGGTTTCCTGGTGGTGACAGTAGGAAACCATGCATGCATGATGAAGAGAATTTATGAAAACTGGAGCAGCTGTGCATGGCAACCAATCAGCTTCTCTCTTTCGTTTTCAAATCTTAACTGGACAAACTGAAGAGAGAAGCTGATTGGTTGCCGTGCACAGCTGCTCCAGATTTTGTCTGCTCCAGTTTTCATAAATCCCCCCC